AAACACATCTTCAAAACAACCACTGCCTTGCTAAAGAAGCTGAGGGTAAAGGGGATGGACTGGCCAAGCATGTCTCCAGACCGCAACCCTATTGAGCATCTGTGGGGCATCCTGAAACAGAAGGTGGAGGTGTGCAAGGTCTCTAACATCCACCAGCTCAATGATGTCATCATGGAGGAGTGGAAGAGGATTCCAGTGGCAACCTGTCAAGCTCTGGTGAACTCTGTGCCCAAGAGGGTTAAGGCAATGCTGGAAAACGATGGTGGCCACACAAAATATTGACACTTTGTGCCCAATTTGGACATTGTCACTTAGGGGCGTACTCACTTTTGTTGCCAGCGGTTAAGACATTAATGGCTGGGTGTTGCGTTATTTTGAGGGGACAGCACATTAAGGACGTGGTGGCACTGCGGGTTAAACCACAAAGCCTCTGGGCTGCGAGGTCGAAACATCAGCAGTTCGAATCCAGCTTCTCCCAGCTCCTGCCACCCTAGCAGTTCGAAAGCATGTAAAAATGCAAGTAGATAAATAGGTACCACCACGGTGGGAAGGTAATGGCATTCCATGTCTAGTCACGTTGGCCACGTGACCACAGAAACTGTCTACAGACAAATGCTGGCTCTACGGCTTGGAAACAGGGATGAGCAGAGCCCCCTAGAGTCGGACACAACTGGACAATTTGTCAAGGGGAACCTTTACGTTTACATATTGACTTCTGTGACATACTGTATGTTTAAGCAGAAACATTAAACTGTCTGAATGTTTTTACTTTGCTTCACAGCTAGTGTTACTGACGGAAATAGCAGGACTCGTTCTCAGCCAAGAGATTTCTTAGATCCTATTCTTGTGATTTCACAATGCAAACAAAAAAAAATTGTGAAAAAATTAGTAGTAATGTAGTAATGTTGACTCCTCATTCAGGATAGCGTTTGAAGTCAGGATAGAATGTGTGCCACTTGTCTTCCACTTTTCAGAGTCAGCTAGAAACTGAGGGTATGTCTTGGCCCTGAAAAGCTTAATACAGTGAAATCTGGTACATGTGTTAAACAGCATATTTTGTTGATTTTATTTTGTTAATTTTTTTATAACTCTCTTTCAGAAAGGAGGAGGAGGAGTTTGGAGTTAATCCCCTTGACTGCACGGATGATTATGGCACATCTGGTGAACAATCTGGGCCATTATCCCTTGAGTGGAGGACCTGCTGTACTCCATAGTCTTATTAGTGAAAATCATGACAATTCCTATGTGGAGTCTTCTGAACTGTCTTCTGAAGTCTTCAGAAGTCCAAACTTACAGCTGTTTGTATTTAATGATAGTACTCTGATATCTTATCTTCAGATTCCCTCAGAGAGGTGTGAAGATAATGAGCCAAGAGGAACATTATCTGAAGTAAGAGTAATTGTTAGAGATATCTCAGGGAAGTATTCGTGGGATGGCAGACTGATGCACGGGCCATTAGCTGGTTGTCTGCCAAACCGAAACAGAAGAAAATCCACTGCAGTTTTTGACAATCATAAACTGAACTCTGAGTCTCCAATTAATTTCATTCAAATCTGTGAAGGAGAAGACGCTCTTGATAAATTGCTTGAAAGGATTGGAAGTACTAGTCCTGAGTGCCTTTTACGTCCACAATTAAAATTAAACGAGCCATCACCATCACCATGTGTCATGAGCCATGACCAGGAGAATGATATTCTACAGGCAATTATGCAACAGAGCTGCATAGAAGAGGAGTATGTACGTAGGTGCAGTTTGAATCCTAGCATGAAAGCTGAGAGTCAGAAGGCACCGAGACCTGCTCAGCTCCAAGCACCATTTCATATATGTAGGCTTTTGCTAAATGACTTAGGGATGAATTCTTGGGATAAAAGGTAAGGACTAAAAATCTTCTGATTTTGGCATTAAAAATAGGTCCACATGTTCCTTAAAGAATCCGGCTGGAACTCTACACCTTCTTACTAACTCCAAAGGGAAAGGTGCCCTTGTTTTCACAGATTAGTATCATTTGCTAAGAATGCAGGATTACTTGGAACTCTGGTATAAGATTTCTTCTTCTTCTGCATTGTCTTTGTTGTCTTCTTCCTGCTTCTCTTCCTCATCTTCTGTTTCTTTAGATAATTTGCTATAAGCTTTTTCCTCCCTTGCTAGTGAGGTACACTGGACACAAGCCTCACTGTCAGGAGGGGGGTATTGTTGTGATCCAACAGAGACAATTTCATCTAACCATCTGTCTAAAGAGTCTCCTCTTACCACCACAGACCACAATAGTTCTTCTGGATTTGTTTTGACAAAGTGGGACAAGCCAAAATCAATTAATTCTGTTTTTTTCCAAGACACTTGATAAGTAAAGAAACATTATCTCCTACTTGCCAAAAGAAAGGACTGCTGAAAATACCCTACTGAGTGTTTTCGCTTAGGTCACACATACAGATGCTAAAAGAAGATATCCAGGGCCTCAAAAGGTATCCAGGATACCTGTGTTCTCCCAACTAAATTTTGCTATATTCTAGAGTTGCTTTATTCACTGTTACTAAGCTGTATGTTCCGTTTTGGATGCACATATTAGTGGTGTGAGGGGGGTTTGAGTATGTCAGAGAAGCTGAAAAATAACGTCAGGAGGCTAGATTCTGTAACAGGTCTAGACTCCTAATGGGATCAACCAAGGTGGAATAATCAAAGCTGAGACAATAGCTTTGTATCCATCCTCTTCAGGAGTAACAATCACATCTGCAGAAGACAGTTGGTACTTGGAAAGGAATTCCTGAAGGGCGCTGATGCAAAATAACTCTCGGTAGTATTGTATAAAAGAAGGAGTTTTGAATATTTGCTACCTTGAACTCTATGAAGTAACTGGATTAATGCCAAAAAAGACTGTCTGATGTTGACAGAGGCAAAAGGAAAGTCCAGTGCCCCACAACAGATGTAATGAAGACATGGAATTTGGGAAGTGTAAATCAATGTACATTTGAACCCATAAAGCAAGAAAGAGAACATTAAAACAATATACTGTATTATGTGGTGTGAGTGAACTGAAGTGAACTGGACAATTTCAGACAATTACTCTAGTCAGGCAAGTATTTTACTCTAAAAATGGCAAGATCAGAAGAAATTGTAAAGTTCTAATACTAATAAACCCCTTCACCTATTGTTGCCTTGTTATGACTGTATTATGTGGTGTGAGTGAACTGAAGTGAACTGGACAATTTCAGACAATTACTCTAGTCAGGCAAGTATTTTACTCTAAAAATGGCAAGATCAGAAGAAATTGTAAAGTTCTAATACTAATAAACCCCTTCACCTATTGCTGCCTTGGGAGAGTTCTGACTAAACGCAATCCACCTGGAACAGGAACTAGCAAGCCACTCCAGTATCTTTGCCAAGAAAATTCCATGGGTAGAAACAAAAGGCTAAAAGATATGACGCTGGAAGATGAGCCCCTCAGGCCGGAAGGTGTCCAGCATGCTACTGAGGAAGAGCAGAGGACAAGGACAAGTAGTTTCAGAGCTAATGAAGTGGTTGGGCCAAAGCTGAAAGGATGCTCAGCTGTGGGTGCACCTGGAAGTGAAAGGAAAGTCCGATGCTGCAAAGAAAAATCCTGCATAGGAACCTGGAATGTAAGATATATGAACCTTGGTAAGCTGGAGGTGGTCAAACAGGAGATGGCAAGAATAAACATTGACATCCAGGGCGTCAGTGAACTAAAATGGACAGGAATGGGCGAATTCAGTTCAGACAATTATATCTACTATTGTGAGCAAGAATCCCGTAGAAGAATCCCGTAGCCTTCATAGTCAACAAAAGAGTGGGAAAAACTGTACTGGGATACAGTCTCAAAAATGAT